TAAATTATTCAGTAGTTTCTATATAGTATTAATATATTTTTCCGTGTGCTGGCACGGGAATTTGCATATACGTAGGTAATCCATATTTTCACGTAAGTGAATTAGACGTTTTTATTGGTAAAATCTGATGACTCCTCTTTAGTGACTATCAAAAATGACCGATAACCTAAATATTTTTTAGAGCTGCTCAATAGTGATGATTACGGTCATACAATTTAAAGTCAATTTTTCAAATTTCATAATTCAAATATAAGACTTGTAGAATATTTGCCCTATATTAAATATTAGAATATTATGTTAACGTTACAGAATCCATTTATTGCTTTGAACGATACTCAATCGGTAAATCAGAATTATTTAATTTAAAGAAATTATTCGACTTTGATAATTATTTCAACAAAAATATATTTGGATTACGTTGTGACATAAGGCCCAGGCCTTAGTTTCGCCTATGATAATAAAAATATTGCATTATTGAAATCGTTTTCGTCACAGCAGCTAGTGTGATTATCCGATTGTTATTAGTTTTTCTTTGTGGCCATTGTTGTATTCGTAACATAAATTATATAAGCAATCCAATTTATAGGTTTTTATTAATGCAATATATATTTTGTGTTAACGTTATTGAACAAATTCATTTTTTCTGATAAAAATTTGTATTAGGTGGATTACACAGCAATATAAATATTATAAAAATGGAAAAATATTAAACTTGATTATTATTTGGCCGTTGAATGCAATCAGCATATCATTATATGCAGATTGCATGGGTTGTACTATCATTATTAATTATAATAAAAAAACTGTTTTTGTATTATCTTGTAGGTATATTTTAACACGCATTTAGATACTATCTAACATTCTAACATATACAAATATAATATCATTATAAAATTATGAAAAAAATAATTATATCGTTTTTTGATAAAAATAGACTTATCCAAAAAATAATAATTTTACTAGGACCGTATTTTAAATAATAACGATGAATCTTTTAAATGTTTCACGGATAGTATTACATTTTTGGAAACTGTGTAAAATAAATTATTTTCATTTTATTATAATCATATATATGGAAACTTCCTAACCTATTATAACAACGAACTTAATATAATTAACAACTTTTTTTTGTTTATCGAAATATTTCTGAGAACAAAACCAAATTAGAACCATATGTATTTAATTCTATTTAACGAAATTATCTCTATAGTATGACATATTTTTGTTCCCCATGAGACATCGTAGTATGGAAGTTTCACTGTATATAATATATATAGGTACTATAGTTGACTGATCCAAGTTAAATATTGGTTTATGGAGATTTATTTCAATAACAAAAATATTTTTTTGAGTTTGCGTTGGTTTTATTAAATTTTACTATGTTCTCGAAAATAAAATTTTAATTAAATGTAAAGTGATATTTACAGTGAGTACCTACTAAATTCTGATAATTTATTGATTATCAACATAAAAATTAAAAAGTAGGAAGATTAATAGCGTGTACTTAATGAAGATACTACAGAAAACTTTATGTTTGTTGTATATTATTACGTTCGAAATGTGATCACTTCGTACAAGGGGAAAAAAAGCGATCAAATTAGAAATGAGATTGGATTTTAGAAAACGTGCCAATAACTTTTCACGGGACAATTCAAAAGTAGTTTTTAATTTTATAAAATCTTGTCTTTGAACATGACAATGTAACTTAATTTTGTAACTTTAACGTAGTTAATCAATAAACTACGGTTTTTATTTAAACTAAATTAAATAAATTATATTACGAACAGTGACTGTTAATCATATTTAAAAACAACCGACCACAATAAAAATGAGACATTATAATGGAATTATGGCTTCACAATAATTGTAATACCTCACTGATTTATTTACACATACAAAAAGGTATTTTTCACATGTTTTTTTACAGCGTTTTATATACATTTGACACACACAGATAAATTAATTTCATTCTACAAAGCTTTACAAAGCTTTAGACGTCACAGTTGACCTAACATAAGGTACATCATATGTTATTTTAAATTTTGAAACGTTCTAAAATTAATGGTTATTTTTGTATTAGTCAAATTTGTAAAACTTTTTATTGTTAATGTATTAATTTGGTTTTACAATATAATACAATAATATGTCAGTATGCTACAATAGCTTTGTTTTTTCATGTCAGATAGTTTCTTTTTTTTTTAAACTAGATATCTGCATAGGTAATATTGTTTTTGAAATTTAAGTACGTTTCTAGGCAATACACGGATTATAGTCAATAACAAGTATTTTGAAACGTAATAATATACCATTTAACAGTATTGTATATTTGACATTTGTGTTTTAATTTAATCTTTCGATTAGATGATGGTTGACTAAATTTTCATAATTTAGCAAGAAAATCGTTAAAAATTAAGTTTTATTCAAGTAGTGTCGTATGTGAATTGTTTTATTTTACATATAGGTAGTCAGGTATATTCTATATACTTTACACTAGTCAAATAGGCAATAGGTGTGCTATTGATCGAAGTCGCTGAGCTACGATTTTTAAAACTGTGTGGAGTGGAGGAATTGACAATGTACATTAACGGGTAGAAAACAATGTACTATAATCTTAGGCCAAAAGATTTTTTTTTAAAATTTAAAGTATTAAAAGTTTAAATCAAATTAACATCATGGTTTTGTTTCTTTTATCGCTGATCATTGAATTGAATAAATTAACACCGAAAATTCGTTCATATTGTATATATACAAATATACAATACAGAGTTGTTTATATCTAATACATAAAAGAAAACGAACAGAAAATGAACATAAATGAAATGGTTTTATTTTGTTGTCTACAATTAATATGTTTTAACCATTTATTTTTTCCTTAAGTTCTTTACTTATTTGTTCAGTAGTATTTGAAAAATTTTATATTGAGTTATATAACTACTAAATTATCTAATACAATGACTTTTTTTTTTTAATTTTGAGATCTAACTGAAATTATTTCGATCGAATTACAATTTTCACTAGATTATTCTATAAATGTTTTACTGCTGCTGCGTTGTGACGAGACTGCAATTGTTGTTGTTTTAGACTCATCTCGAGCAAAATTATTATGGAAAGTCATTGGAGAAGAACAAATCTGGAAAACTTTCGCGGTGAAAGGGTGCGTGTTGACGCGTTTTGGATTCGTGCCATTACACACAAACGCCTCGGCCTTAATGGCGTTTTAACGAATTAACACGAATCATCTAAAAGACGGTATTTCGATATGATTTTTATCCCATTGAACTGATCTGTACGACTATTGTGTGTAGTGTATTCGTTTACGAGAAAATAATAGCATATTATTTTTCTAATACTGTAATGCCGATTCAGAAGTACCTCCTACACACTAACCTATCTATCTATCGTATCGCTTTGATATATTGTGTGATGAAGTTTTTGAGATATAATAATAATAATAATACAGATAAAATATCGGCTATGCGCTCGGCAGAAAATCCGCTCAGAAACGTTAACATCTGATACTGCAATTGTCGAGTCGAGGAGTTCGTAGATAAAAAAAATGGCCTCTGGCTGTTGTATAGATATAAGTTGGTAAGTTTAAAAAAGAGAGAGGGTTTGGCTTTTTAAAATTTAGTTTTAAATAATATACTAACGGTCGTCGAATTACCTGATTTACGGGAGGCGAGCATATAATATTATTACGTTGGTCGAAATTACATTATAATATTGCCTTACCTGTGAACAGAAAATAAAATACAAAAGATTATAACATTATAAAGTAAATCTAGGGGTTATATTAAAACGCAATGGATAGTATTTTCCAGTTTAAATGTATTTTCGACTATGGATAATAATGTATTTTATAAGACGTCTCTTAATAATATACTATAAACGTTATTAATTATTACCATAAATCGATGAAAACGTGTCCTATAGAAAAGAAATTAACTGCGTGTTATTTATAATTTTTTTGTTGGCCATTTCATTATGATTGCAAAAATATATTATCGTAATATTGTATGCCAGAAAAATAGTGCCCACACGCATTATATTATTCCACGGCCCTTTACGCCGTTTAAGAAAGTCTGTTTCTCCTTCTCTTGCAGCGTAGTTTCCCGCATTCTTATACAGCCACGTCGACCGGCCGTTTCCCCTCCAGTGCGAGTTTTCCACTGAACTGAAAACCCGACCGCTTCCACAGTCGTACATTTTCACGTTTATTTGGGTCACGTTAACTGCGGTCACAATTCGGACATGTTTCATACGGTGGAAGACGCCAACCATATATCTACTGTCTGTCGTGAAACCCGGCACAAATGGGCGTCAAGTATTTTTACTCGGTAAGAATGGATTTTCCATCACCTTTTCGTTTATTTATTTATTTTTTTATTATTTTTGCACTTGTCGTTCAAAAGCCGAAATCATTCGGAAGGGTTCACTCCGTGAAGTCATATCGGAAAAATCATCTCGAGTTTTATACTTTTTAGGGCTTTCGCGAAACATCTTCGAAATACATTTTTGCGAGCATACGACTTTGGTTTTTCTGTTTGCTATTTTTTTCTATATATATATATTTATTATTTATATATATAAGTATATAAAATTCCTAGCACAATGTGACAACGAACAACGAACAGAATAAAAATAGAAAAATACTCTCGTTTTCTGCGATTGGCAAAAAAAAAATCCCATGCTATGGAAACTATCTCAACGTTTTTAACAATGGGGATGTTGTCTAGCTGTAACTCGTTTGTGTGTTTTGTTTTTACGTCCCGTCCGGACAATGCGCACACAGACATTTGTCGCATTCATCGCATTATTCGTCGTTCATGGGTTACTACAATATATTTTGACGTTACATTGTTTGACGTATTTTTGAAAATGCCTTCGGATAAATTATTTGGAATAATTTACATGACATTTCCTCTTTTGCACGAACTTTATTATTATATTATATTGTTATTATTGCGTGTACGTATTTTCAACGATTTGTATCAACTTACAATCTCCTCGGAGTGGTAAAAAAATAATAGTAAAAAAGAGAAAACATATGTTTGTTCTTTTCATTTTGGTAATCTAATCTGGCAGACGTTTTGTTAAATCTCCAAGATGGGACGATGAACTCGAACGGATATGAGCTATGGCACCGTAGGGAAATACACTTTAAAAAAAAACTGTTGTCAAATTCGCCTTGTCGTGTTTTGTTGCCGAAGTAATTAAATATTAAAAACAAAATATAATATTGCAGTCTTCTCGGTATGTTAGTAATACACTGCGATAATGTGGGACCATAAACGATCACTACTGTAGTTCTCATTAAAAACGACTTATTATGTATCATACATTTTCATTTATTTATTATTGTTGATAAAAAGTCATGTAGTACAATATTTTATAATTTCTTTCCGGCGAGATGAAGAAAGTTCGGCCAGAATAATTCGACAGATACAAACATATTATATTATACATATAGTCATATAGATCGATTTTCTTAGGCCCTAATCAATGATGGTAAAATATATTTCGACGCGCTTGCTTTAAACGTGGTGGAAAATATTAAGATGTAGGTAACCTCGGCGTTATAATAATAACAATTATTTTACCGAACGATTTCCCGGATAGGTGGTAGCTTTTCGTCGCACTTTAAAAGGCGCGTAATTTTTTGTAATATAAAAACAGTCGTATCTATCTATCACATTGCAGCCGTGGTATTTTGACTCACAGTGGAGTGTTAACCAAGGTAGGAAAACTAGATGGGTTACCAATGCCCACGACTCGTAATGGCAGTGGTATAATCATAATATATATTATGTTGCGTTTTAACTTTTAGATGACATCGAGTTTGTTCTTTCAGTGCACACGTGACGTATAAATTAATACATTATATTAATGACATAATAGTAATATAACTCTTTTTTGACAGCTGTCCGCGGTCGCTTGTTTTACGGTGGTGTGCGTCAGATGCGATTTGTCGTCGTCGTCGGTCGAAGAGGAAACGGCGGCCGCGTCTTACGAAGAAACGAAAAGGTCGCTATACGACGATGACAGTGCTCTGGAGGCGACGCACGTGGACGGTGGCTCCACCGACCGGCAGCTGAAGCGGTTCATCGTGCCAGTCAGCACTTCGGACCTGGGACTCGAGACTTCCAGCTCCAGACCATACTTCGTGCACCAACACATGCAGCACTACAAACACCCCCGAAACCAGCAGCAGCAGCAGCAGCAGCACCACCACCAACACCACCAACACCCGCAGCACCAACAGCAGCTGCAACATAATCAGCAACAACAACTGCCACAGCAGCAGCAGCAGCAATCTCCACAGTCGCAGCATCAGCACCATTCGCATCAGTACCACCACCAAGGTCGAGGACAAGCGGCTGTCGATCATTTCGGGTTCGGGCCTTCGTCTCCGGGCAGCACTGGCGGGGGTGGAGGCGGTGGTTATACAGATCAGTCAGACAACTTCTACCAGTCATTGGGTGGTGGTGGTGGAGGTGGAGGTGGTGGTGAGAACATTAACTTCGACACGACCGGTTTCACAGACTTCGTGCCATCTGTCGAGTTCCGGTCGACCGGTGCACCGGCCATGCCGTCATCTTCATCACCATTCTCCGCTTCACCGCAACACCAATCGTCGTCGCCGTTTACCGGGCCTGCGGCGCAACTCCATCACTCGTCACTATTCGACGGCGGTTCGAGTGGCGGTCACCTGCAGCACATGACCCCGTCATTCGATCCTACTGGTTTCGGCCAGGACTCCCCTTTGGCCGGTTATGGTGGAGGAGGCGGTGGCGGTAGTGGTGGTGGTGGACACGGTGGTGGTGGTGGTGGAGGCCACGGGGGTGGTGGAAGTGGAGCTTCGGGTTACGGTTCGGGTGGTTACGATTATGCGCCCCACAACCTGGCTCCAGTCATACACAAGTCGATATACGTACACGTGGCACCACCCGACGACGATCCGCCACGCAAGCAGCGCGTCATCCTGCCGAACGTGCCACCAAAGAAAAACTATCAGATAGTGTTCATCAAGTCACCCACCGCGCCATCACCTACCGCACCCATCATACCGCCGCCGCCGCCACAGCCCGCTGACAAGACGCTCATCTACGTGCTGCACCCCAAGCAGGAAGAGGCACCGCCCATACACATACCGCCGCCGCCGGTCACGCAACCGCTCAAGCCCGAAGTATACTTCATCAAGTACAAGAATCGCGAAGAGTCGCATGGTGGTGGAGGTGGCGATTACGGAGCTGGTCACGGAGGTGGTGGGGTTGGTGGCGTTCTGCCGTCGCCCGGTGAAGAGTTTGGTGGCGGCGGTGGCGGTGGAGGTGACTCTGGTTACGTTCACCGGAGGTACGGACGTGGAGACCAGCAGACATCGACTCCGCCATCGACCGCCGCGGCCTCCACCTCCGATGTCGCCGTCTCCACCACCGCCGAAGCAGCCTCCACCGAACACTACGACGACGGCGATGGTATGGCCCCAGAACAACGGGAACTAGTCGAGTCTGAGGTGACTTCCGCGGCCGCCACCGCCGCGGCCTCCATCTCCGCCTCAGCAGACTCAGACCCAGAGACGTCCGACGAGAACGCCGACGAACTGATGCTCCGGGGCAGCTATAGTACAGAGTACAACGACGCGTCCGTCGACAGCACAAACCTAAGCGAGACCCACGTCCAGCTGTCCACCACCGCACCCAAAGGCAAAAACGGCCATTGATGTATACTATAATATAATATATTATTTTAGTTTATTCGCTTAACCGTGAATACCATAGGTTAGGTTATAATAATTGGAAAATAATAATAATAAAATATGTCGGCTGTAAAAATATATTATATAAAAAGGATATATTATAATAAGCGTTATTATAATCGTGTAGTAAATCCACGATGATAGGTATCGTACTATAATATAATATAATAAGTTTTCTGTATTCTACTTTATGTGTAAAAATATATTTTGAAACAATATAGTTCCGACGAGTTTTCCTTTAAATCATAGGTTTTTGTTCAAACTGCAGCATTACTTTTGCGACTATTATTGAGATCTTAAGCTTTAAATATAAGTACCTATATCAAATAAAATAAAAATGAACACTGTACAATTAGTTCCCAGTATAACTGCTATTATAATACGCGGTGCTCAGCTCGTGTGTTATAAAAGATTTGTGTATTGTCGCGACAAAGTGCTGAAAACAGAGTAAGGATCCTTTTACTACATACCTGCGAAGTTTTTATTATGCACATGATAATAATATGATATTATGCGATTGCCAAGTAAGTTTTAAACTGTTTTCTTATCATATATTATAATATAAATTACTTAATATTATTATACACGATCGTATTATTTTTTTCACGATAAAATATATAAACTTATACGAAGTAGGTAGATTCTAATCTATAGTTTTCCTGAAATCTTAACTGTTGCTAGTATATATGCATTTATCATCTTCTTAACACATTGATGGTCATGACTGCTATATATAGCATTACAACAAATTCTGTAAATTTAGCATCACTTCGAATTGACTGCTATAACATTGTGTGACCGCCAATGGTTAGGTTAGGCTAAGTGGAAAACGAAAACCATATAAATTTTCTTAATAAATTATTTCGTTTCGTTTTCGATACCGGCAGGATACCCGCAATATAATTATATTTTTATTTGATTTAAAATTTATCGTAATAATTTAACAATAATAAGAGTATCGATGATTGTGTGTAGGTGTTCCTATTTGTTCCTGTACCTCGCCTACATTCAAATATTAAGTAAACATCGTTTAAGGGTTTTATTTGATATTTTACAATGTATTATTGTTTAGTACCAGTGATTTTATTATATTTTTAATTTTACAAATAAATCAGTTTTTGCTAAAAGTTTCGGACTTTATACTAAATGTGTTTTTTTTTAGATATTGAGATCGATGTATTTAATTTGTGCACAGAAAGGTTACAAAATGTATTTTAAATACATAGCGAGTACCTACCGATATTAATAAAATTTACCATTTGGTTCAATGTGTAATTTTACAAATCCACCAGTGGTACTCATTATTTGATCTTTGGAAAAGATGAAAAATAAAATAATTCTTTTGTGTTGTAAAATAAAATAAAATGTAAATATAATTAAACATTGAGTTAATACAAACGGTACTAAATACTGCTGTTCTCTAAATAAAGTTGTCAATAGTAAAATTAAATAAAAATATACATTTCCATTGCAATCTATTATTCTGTTCTAGTCTAATGTTTCGTTAAGGCATCTGATAACTTAGTTATGCAAATTAAATATTTAGTTACAAGTTTATTGTAATAAAAATATACATAAATTAAATAATCTCGGACATTCTCAGGACGTACCCAAGAGTTAAAAAAATAATAATTATAAATAATGAATAATATAGTTTTTTCATTCAGACTACTGTGAATAAAAAAAACACAGTGACAATTGTAATTACATATAATGAGGTCGAACTGATTGAATATATTTTTTATGCGCAATGTGATTGATTATAGATCATTAAAAATTCGTTATGGATTTGATTTAGGAAAAAAAAATTACAAAATTAGGTCGTTCATCAAAAAAGTGCTTAGTTAACTGGTTATGAATGTCTTTTTGAGCGTATTTCGAAATAATCCATGGATTAGTTTTAGTATTTTTTTTTCATTCGTTTTATTTTTCACAAATCGATGTTATATAATAGAATAGGTATTATTATAAAAGATTGTAAAATTATTGTTGTTATTATTTTTTTTTTTTTGTAATCGAAGTTATCCAATAATTACAATTGTGTTGAATAACGATATTGAGCATTTATCATAAAAATCATGCATATTATTAAGAAATAATAACATATTTAATTTCTGTATTTAAAATAGATTATATTTTATAGGTTATCAAATACCAATATAATATTATATTGTATCGTATTGATATTACTTATATTACATAAAATTGTAATTATTTTTTGGCATTCTAAAAGCTACGAGTGAAAAATAAGAAAAATTATATCAAACGATCTGATGAGCGGTAGGTAATTAATATACTCGGGAGTAAATCGATATTTTATTATAGTCGTATATTTTAGATTTATACAATGCACTGGGACAATATATCATCTTCAGTTTTATCCAGGTAAATTAAAGTATTATTTCTGTATTCTGTTATCGTCGAATGTATATCACATTTTAATTTGTAGTATTATACTTCAATTTTTTCTAAATAAATTATTCTCGGCGGTTACAGATTAAACGCAATTTAAAAATCAAATCAGAAAACCCTTTGTATTATAAAAAATAATAATATATATTATGCATTAAAGTAATATTACTTTAAATTTAATCTAAAATAGTAAAATGTTTGATAACTTTTACTGGAAATGTTTAGATAAGTACCAAGTGGAAATGGGTAATTTATTTTGCAGACAACCCGCGACCTCACTTCAAGATTTATTTTTTAAAATTTTAAGACTTATAGAATCCTTTAGGAGATTGTAGGAATGCAGGATTACGATTACCTACTCGTGTAAAAACTTTGGTTCCATTCCTATTTAAAGATTAGAGGTCTAGTGTGAATATATTCTGATCATTTATGATCTAGATTAGTGAATAAGTTTATAAGTAGATTATTACTACCAGATTATTATTATTATGATGGTGCTTTGCATTTTATGCTTTAATTAATAGATAACTACCTAAACATTGTAACGTTGATAGTGTTAATATAAATTAAATTTTAGTATATATTGCTTTTCTAAACAAAACATTAAATATTTTTAATTTTTATTTAATTTTTAAGTAATCTGCCATGGCACGTTTTGAAACATAAATATATTACCTTAGTTATGTATCTTGAAAAAGTGATTTTAAAAATATTTAATCTTGTAAGATTTCATCTTCAAATATCAAATAACAGAAAGTTTTTAAATTTAAGTATATTATCTATTTTAAGTGAATTTATATTTTGAAAAAAAACTTTTTACCATAAATGAAAATATAATTTTTTCTAAAATAAAAATTCTCTCCCAAATACTCTTCATTAAAAAAGTAAAAAGTTTATTCATTTGTCTGCTTTTGTGTACGCGTTTGTTTTACACAGTTTTTTTTATTTACTCCCAAAATGTATAATATTACATCGATTTGTTAATTTTAATTAGACTTTTTTGTGATTATGTAGTTATGATTTATGTTAGACATAATTTTAATATTTCATAATTCATGGTCAATTAAACATTATTACTATATAGTTAAATTAAATTATAATTGCATTTTTGGTAGTAATTTTTCACTTGTCTATCAATTTTCTAAAGCACAACAGACAAGGACTATACTCACATTGTGCCTAATTTAGAAATAATTAAAAAGCATGCTAGGACACGGGAAACGTTGCACCTGTCGACTTAGCATTTTACACTGCTAATAACTTACCTGAAATACCTCATGAAATTTTATATGTGTATATCAAATTTAACTGTCTATTTATTAATGAAATTATAATGACAATACAAACAACTAACCACTATAAATTGTAATGTTAAAACCTAACGAGACCTTTATTGTATTTATTCAGGCCCGAATAAACTGTTATTTTTCTTCTCAAATAAAATAGCTCATCGTTATGTATCGAGTTATAATTGTAAAAGTTCAACTAAGTCACTCAAATATTTACAAGCTATCGTACCTCAATCTTCGGACTACAGGTCAGTGAAAAAATAAGTAGGTACATAATATATTATATTGAAAAAAAAACAAAAAGTCTTCCTTATATCTATGCATTGCAGCAGTTTTATCGCTAACAGTCATTTACGCTATTGATTGTAATCAAAATCGTAGGTATGTGGTGAAGGACAAGATTCCACTCAGTGCCAGAAAGACCGAGCTTTATGTAGTGGCTCACATCCAGTTAATTACAAAGGTTGCCAATCTCTTTCTAATCTTTAAAAAGTCATGTGATCACAAATTATTATTAATTAACCGTTTGAAATCCTAAGTTCAAAATCAAGTACATTTGAATAGTGATACTCATTTTTCAAACGAGTGTTATTATATTAAAATCAGTGTTCTAAAAATAAATAATGATCCGAGATTCGTCTGAAAAATTTTCATAAACCTTATTCCGAGAACAAAATATTATTACTAAGTCTATAAAATTGTATTCTCTTGAAATTTTTTATTTTTATTTGGAAGCATTTATAATGAGAAACTGTGTTGATTCAGATTGCATTTAACTAATTAAAAAATGACTGATTATGTTGATTCATTTTCATTGAAATTGCAGTGCTTCAGCCTTCAAGTTATCAGTTACCTCGTGGTGTTATTTAATTGATATTTATTTTTATTTTTTTATTAGATAAAAATAGAGTATTTACAATAAGTAATATTTATATACAAGAATAAGTAAATTTGATAGCCAAAAAAAACTTGATGGTACAAAACATGAATGGCTTGAGGAGGGAGGCCCAAAAGTGTGGATACCATCTAATTGATATTTAAAAACTTCGTTCCGAAAAATCAAGTCAGACATTTAATTTAATTTTATACATGTATTAAGTGCACTTAAATATAAATTCATTCATTATTATTTATTTATTGTAAACAATATCTAATGGGGTTTACGCGTATTTAAATGTACAAAACATAAATTATATAAAATTGTTTAAAAGTTCAAAGAGTAATGCATTTAGATCTTTATTAAATAATTTTTTTTAAGTTAAA